CAAGTTGCAGATACAGATTTAAAAGTAGTTTTACGGTTTATTGAAATCAAAACATAGTCTCATGTTCATTAATAGAAATAACTAACAATCAATTACTAAAATATATTTGAAAAAAATGGCTTGTATTCAATAGCCTTATTTTTATTACGCGAGACTTCAAAGGGTTTTCCTTTATTTAGGGTGTACCTATGACGTCACTGAGGTTTCTGTTTGATGGCAAAAGAATTAATGATGATGAAACACCAAAGCAGGTAATCTTCTACTTAAACTGTAATAGCAATAACGGATTGATTTATAATGTAACAAGAACTTTAATATTCAAATTATATTCCAGCTCGAAATGGAGAACGATGATGTGATTGAAGTATATCAAGAGCAAACAGGTGGTCATTACTGAGGAAATAAATCTATTCAGTTTCAACATCTTTTAAAGTGAAAGTGACTATCGTAAAGAAATGGACAAGTTTAACAGTATATATATATATGTATGTTATAAACAAAATATTATGTAATTTGGTTTTTTTAAGTAATATTTTGATGTGCTGTTCTACATTCCTGTAACGTGGCAAGTTTAAAATCGTCAGCAAACAGTTTTCATACTAATGTATACGTTCATCCAGTAAAAACAAAACAGAGAAAAGAATTATGCCTTAAATGCCGTAAGTCTTGTGTATTAATAATTATTTGGCAATGTATATTTGCACTTTGCAGATTTCTGAAACTTTAGATACATCGCGAGTAGCTTATGATTTGTTATTGGAACGCGATAAATAATGCACATTGTGAATATGATTTGAAACAAAATTGTTGCGTTTAAGGCTGGTCTAAAATAAAGTAACTGTAACATTTTCCCTTTGTCTTTTCTATGTAATCGTAATATCAACAAAGTATTTTTTATTTCAAAAGTATCTGCACATTAATACAAAATATTATTTTCTTTTGTAATGACTAGAAAGCGTAATGAATTCGATGTAAGTAATGTGGATGCTTCCAGAGNGGTAATCTTCTACTTAAACTGTAATAGCAATAACGGATTGATTTATAATGTAACAAGAACTTTAATATTCAAATTATATTCCAGCTCGAAATGGAGAACGATGATGTGATTGAAGTATATCAAGAGCAAACAGGTGGTCATTACTGAGGAAATAAATCTATTCAGTTTCAACATCTTTTAAAGTGAAAGTGACTATCGTAAAGAAATGGACAAGTTTAACAGTATATATATATATGTATGTTATAAACAAAATATTATGTAATTTGGTTTTTTTAAGTAATATTTTGATGTGCTGTTCTACATTCCTGTAACGTGGCAAGTTTAAAATCGTCAGCAAACAGTTTTCATACTAATGTATACGTTCATCCAGTAAAAACAAAACAGAGAAAAGAATTATGCCTTAAATGCCGTAAGTCTTGTGTATTAATAATTATTTGGCAATGTATATTTGCACTTTGCAGATTTCTGAAACTTTAGATACATCGCGAGTAGCTTATGATTTGTTATTGGAACGCGATAAATAATGCACATTGTGAATATGATTTGAAACAAAATTGTTGCGTTTAAGGCTGGTCTAAAATAAAGTAACTGTAACATTTTCCCTTTGTCTTTTCTATGTAATCGTAATATCAACAAAGTATTTTTTATTTCAAAAGTATCTGCACATTAATACAAAATATTATTTTCTTTTGTAATGACTAGAAAGCGTAATGAATTCGATGTAAGTAATGTGGATGCTTCCAGAGAATCTTATATTCCAAACACTTATTCATCGTAAATACAGCGTGTACCATGTTGTAGAGGATTGTATATCGACTAATTTAAAAAAAATTGTACTTTATAATCAGCAGATTTTTTAGACTTACCGTGATGTATAGAACCAATGCTGTAACGAGTATACAATATGATGATTATACTTCATTTTGTGTATAGTCATCGTTCTCATATATGTTTAAAAAGAAAAGGAAATAATATCTTACGCGCTGTATTAAACAGTAAACTTGTAGATTTTTCATCTCATACATGATTTCTGTGTAGGCATCCTTATTATAAACTACTACACAGTAATTTGACAGGATAACATTTTTTTGAATTGTAATAAAACTTATTCTTGTACAGATAATGCACATAGTTTTCGTTTTCATTATTAACGTGTAAACATCGTTCGGCGATTTTCGCAATGTTATCTCTTTCAATTACTTCTATTTTTTTCCAAAACACCATGAGCTTTTTCAATAATATATACATTAAATGAATTTATTTATAGTTAGAACAGATAAGTGAATAAAATTACATTACTTTTAGTAACGATGTGTAACGAAATGTAGAACATAACAGATAGCAGATAACTTAGTAATAATCATTAGGTTTACGGTCGGATATGATACTCACGTTTACAAAGCTTTATGGAATCCACGAGCATGTTTGCATCTGCCAATAGCATTAATTATCTGTAATAATAATCCAAAAGCAAAAAATAAACGAATCTTCATCTTTCTTTACTCATCTTACTTACAATTAGTGGTTTAAGAAAATAAATGCTGACAGAGGCGATCCTCTCGTTTAATAGAATTGCTTTTATTTATATATTGAACAGTTATATTGAACAATGTTGATAATTGCTATTATTACTTACTTTTTAGCACTTCTTAAACATATTATTCGCAATAGTTTTAACATCGTAAGCGTACATTGATAAAAATAATTAACTATTTACAGTTCATATTGAGATAACTAGTAATCCTAATATGTAGCGCCCTATCATTATTACACATTTACAGTGATCTATAATCTGGAAGAAGCAATTTCCTTTTTTATTGCCCCCGTAACCGTAGTATTATAAAAATCGAAATTTCTAACCGAAGATTTAGTACGGAGTACGTATGTAGAATTATCGAAAATCAGAATTGTAATGTCAATTGTTCAATTATCTGTTCGCACACAAATTGCTTCTTCGGAAACAATAACAACTTAATTGTCACAGTTCGATCGCTTAATTAGCACTTATGCACCGGTGCAAAAAATGTCAGCGAGTAGATAAATAGTTCATTCGATAAAATGAGTTTATATAGGTTCATATACACAGCCCATAATATGCATACAGAAAAATAATGCATAAACTATTATCTGAATAACGAGTCCATCCCCTCGGTGAATAGTTTCTTTATAACAGATAAATCATGAACTGTTTCAAATGAATATTGTTGAGTTAAAGCAGAAGGCATTCTTACGTAAGAAAACTTTACATAGTACTTTACGTGGTGTTAACAACAATCTCATTTACGCTGCCTACTCTGCTTTGATTTCTTTCTAAACCAATTTTGCTTAATAACGGAAGTTAATTTAATGTCTCAAATGTGATTCATGTCAATTCTTATTTCACCAATTAATACGTTTTAACGTCTCAACCAATTTAAAGAAATTTGCCAATGAAGAGTTAAGCACGCACTGCTGATAATTTTAGCTGCTAGTATAAATTCATAGGACTAACAACAAAGTTTATACAGAAAATTATAACTTGCTGTTAAAACTATTCAGAAACAGAGAGTTGTAGTAATGAAGACATCAGTCTTTGATTTCTTTTTGACACGATTACAAATCTAATATGATCATCCACACTGTTCGCTTTACAATGATGCGTTTCAAAATAATCCTATTTCTGAATAAACTGGATAAAAAGAGATTCTGAACTAACATGTTTAATAGATTAACAAAATAATTACGATAATAAATTAGAGCATATAACGGCCTTCCCTTCTATCTCTATCGTTTCTCTACATTACAAAGGAGCACTCGATAAATTCAATCCACCTTAACGAAAAAACTATAATT